GTGGCCTAATGGTTAGAGAGTCGGACTCATAACCCAAAGGTTGTGGGTTCGAGTCTCGTACCGGCAGGGATTGTAGGTGGGGGGAGTGAATGTACAGCGCTCTCTCCCACCTTCAATACCACGACTGAGGTGCCCTTGAGCAAGACACTGAACGTCACCTTTATTTGTTTTTTTTTTTTAAAGGCAACATTTTACTGACGTAGTTACCGACAGTTTTTGCGGAAATCGTGCCTTGTTCTGTGGAATCTAACTAACATTGCTTTATGGCTAAAAAGGTCAAAATATCTTCTATTTTAAGAAACTTTTATTGACTTACTGACACACAGACATGCGGGTCTACCGGGGGCATCCCCATTTCTATTTTTTTTCCTTCGATATGATATGATATAGACATATATTGGTGGTTACATTTATCTTAAAGGTGTAGTGCACCTAAAAATGAAAGTTCTACCATCATGTCATGTAATAATAAAATGATAATAATAAAAAGAAATGTTTTTGTCCATGCAATAAATGTCAGTGAGGTCCAGTGTTGTTTTGAACCCCACTGACTTGGGCAAAACCGTTCAAAATACACTACCGTTCAAAAGTTTGGGTTTCAGGAATATTTTTGATTGTTTTTAAAAGAAATCTCTTCTGCTCACCAAGGCTGCATTTATTTGATACAGAAAAAACAGTAATATTGTGAAATATTATTATGATTTAAAATAAAATAAATTCTACTTTAGTGTTCTTTAAGATGTAATTTATTTCTGTGATGCAAACCTGAATTTTCAGCATAATTTCGCCAGTCTTCAGTGCCACATGATCCTTCAGAAATCATTCTTCTTTGCTTATTTGCTGCTCTAGAAACTTTTTTTGTTTTGTTTTTTTTAGCAATATTGAAAATGGTTGTGCTGCTATTTTTATGTCGGAAATGGTGACACATTTTAGGATTCTTTGAATGAATGTAAAGATGAATATAAAATGTATTTGAAATAGATTTTCTTATAATCTAAATGTCTTTTTATAAGACTTGTCTTCTAAAAGACATTTAAAGACATTATTTGTCATATTTCCAGGCTGAATAAAAATAATTAATTACTTTAAAAAAACGACAACTTTTGAACAGTACCATATCTTTTTTGTGTGTTCCACAGAAGAAAGTCATACAGTTTTGAAATGACACGTGGGTGGCTAAATGATAACAGAATTTACAGCATTGGGTGAACTATCCCTTTAAGCATGAATAATCTACCTGTAACCTTTCCTTGAGAAGGAATTGTTTGAAAGGTGAAAAGAGTCTTTATTTGATCACAAAAGGCTTGCTGTCAGAGCTTCATAGTGGGCTTCTGTTCTCAGCATTACTTTCTCCCTCTTGCTGCTTTGCTCATACACTGTACTTGGCTGATGTATTAACAGTACTATTTTTCTTGCCCACTTCTTTTTCAGGTTTTGGTCTGCTTGTGCCACTCCGGTCTTCTCAGCTTTCTAAACCACAGCATCAGCAGGGGCCTCTGCGTTCCCAGAAACTGAGCTCCACGCGACCAAAACCGACTTTGTTACCCTGAAAAGGCTGTGGAAACTTAAGAACGAAAAACCGGAAGGCAATTTATAAGGTGAAATAGATTTTCCATTTCTCCGGCCTTCCGTGTCCATAACCAAACGGAGAGCTGAAGTCTGCTGATTTTAATGACATGATTGTTGGAGAAGCACGGATATCTGGATGCTTGTGGATCCTTCAGACGTCTGGCTGTCACCTCCCCCGACTGTAGCATTACCGAAAGAGAGGATTCTGGGATAGGTTCATGCCGTGGTTGCGCCGCTGTATGGAGGTGTAAGGGAGGAGCAGGACTCGTGTGGGACGCTGGTGGAGTACTGGCTGGTGGAGATCATGGGAAAAGAGCAGGATCTTCTGCAAGCGGTCAAGAATGGAGACCTAGCTACTACGCAGAAACTGCTGGCCAAGGTCAAAGCCAGCAAAAGCAGTGAGTAACAGTACATTACCTCTCTATCCTTTTCACTGCATTTGACATAATGTGTATCCATGAAGATCTTTGCTTTTGCAGACCATCATTGGCAATTGTTCTACCACCAGGGTGCTAAAGGGTCCACTGTGTGACTTGGGCAAAACCGTTCAAAATACACTACCGTTCAAAAGTTTGGGTTTCAGGAATATTTTTGATTGTTTTTAAAAGAAATCTCTTCTGCTCACCAAGGCTGCATTTATTTGATACAGAAAAAACAGTAATATTGTGAAATATTATTATGATTTAAAATAAAATAAATTCTACTTTAGTGTTCTTTAAGATGTAATTTATTTCTGTGATGCAAACCTGAATTTTCAGCATAATTTCGCCAGTCTTCAGTGCCACATGATCCTTCAGAAATCATTCTTCTTTGCTTATTTGCTGCTCTAGAAACTTTTTTTGTTTTGTTTTTTTTAGCAATATTGAAAATGGTTGTGCTGCTATTTTTATGTCGGAAATGGTGACACATTTTAGGATTCTTTGAATGAATGTAAAGATGAATATAAAATGTATTTGAAATAGATTTTCTTATAATCTAAATGTCTTTTTATAAGACTTGTCTTCTAAAAGACATTTAAAGACATTATTTGTCATATTTCCAGGCTGAATAAAAATAATTAATTACTTTAAAAAAACGACAACTTTTGAACAGTACCATATCTTTTTTGTGTGTTCCACAGAAGAAAGTCATACAGTTTTGAAATGACACGTGGGTGGCTAAATGATAACAGAATTTACAGCATTGGGTGAACTATCCCTTTAAGCATGAATAATCTACCTGTAACCTTTCCTTGAGAAGGAATTGTTTGAAAGGTGAAAAGAGTCTTTATTTGATCACAAAAGGCTTGCTGTCAGAGCTTCATAGTGGGCTTCTGTTCTCAGCATTACTTTCTCCCTCTTGCTGCTTTGCTCATACACTGTACTTGGCTGATGTATTAACAGTACTATTTTTCTTGCCCACTTCTTTTTCAGGTTTTGGTCTGCTTGTGCCACTCCGGTCTTCTCAGCTTTCTAAACCACAGCATCAGCAGGGGCCTCTGCATTCCCAGAAACTGAGCTCCACGCGACCAAAACCGACTTTGTTACCCTGAAAAGGCTGTGGAAACTTAAGAACGAAAAACCGGAAGGCAATTTATAAGGTGAAATAGATTTTCCATTTCTCCGGCCTTCCGTGTCCATAACCAAACGGAGAGCTGAAGTCTGCTGATTTTAATGACATGATTGTTGGAGAAGCACGGATATCTGGATGCTTGTGGATCCTTCAGACGTCTGGCTGTCACCTCCCCCGACTGTAGCATTACCGAAAGAGAGGATTCTGGGATAGGTTCATGCCGTGGTTGCGCCGCTGTATGGAGGTGTAAGGGAGGAGCAGGACTCGTGTGGGACGCTGGTGGAGTACTGGCTGGTGGAGATCATGGGAAAAGAGCAGGATCTTCTGCAAGCGGTCAAGAATGGAGACCTAGCTACTACGCAGAAACTGCTGGCCAAGGTCAAAGCCAGCAAAAGCAGTGAGTAACAGTACATTACCTCTCTATCCTTTCACTGCATTTGACATAATGTGTATCCATGAAGATCTTTGATTTTGCAGACCATCATTGGCAATTGTTCTACCACCAGGGTGCTAAAGGGTCCACTGTGTGAACAAGTTAGAATAGTTATTCTGATGATCCTGTTATTTATATACCCATGACTAGAGCTGGGTGACGTACCTAAAACAATTCTCAGTATGCATGTATTTCTCTTAAATTATCTACATTGGTGCTCATGGCTGTACAGATTCTGCGTATTTTCTCCATGAATTGTGATGGGAGATTCACCTTCAAGCCATTCTAAACCTGTATGACTGACTTTCTTCCGTAAAACACAAACGAAGATATTTAGTAGAATGTTCATGCTGCTCTTTTTTCATACTGTAAAAGTAAATGGTGACCAGGAGCATTAAAGATCCACAAATGACCAAAAAAGCAATATAAAAGTAGTCCATATTGCTTGTACACCATATTCCAAGTCTTCTTGAGCCATACAATAGCTTCAAGTGAGGAACAGACTTAAATATTTAGACTAGAGTGTGCTAGAAGTCTCCTGTTTTGTTCCACGGAAGAAATAAGGTCATGCAGGTTTGGAATAATGGTAAGTCAATGAGGCCATAATTTTAAATTTGGGTTAACTAACCCTTTAAATATGGGTAAGCATGTTAATTGATGGTTGAAAGCATGATCAAATTAGCCACAATATTTAATTAACAAACATGCAGCGGGTGGCGATATGAAGAACTTTGAATTCTGTGGAAATCTGTGGCACTTGATTGTTGCAGAATTCATGCAGACATATTCATGACAAATAAAGTCATTAGAAACAGTGATCAACCACATTTGCCCTTATTTACTTACACAGAGCCAATTTACTTTTCATTTCATAGGTTGATGATAAGAGCTCATTTCAGAGGGTCAAAGTTCAGGACTGCTTGTCTGCTCAACAGTGATCAATGGTGACCGTTGTTTTGGTTAAGCGTATCTCTGTGCACTTTAGCTTTCTAATGGTCTAACATGAATGCACTGCTTGGAGAAACCCCACTGACGCCTGTTTTCCCAGTCCCACCAGTTAGTCTTTGCTGGAAGTGTATTGTTTCTCCAGGTTTGTGATCTCTGTAAGAGCAACGTGCTTGGCCTTTGGAACACCTTACAAACTGGGTCCTGATAACATAAACAGACTGTGTGTTTGCATTGTACTTTTATCTCTTTATGGCAGTACATTGAGAGCAAGCTGCAGGCACTCAACTCCAGCATGAAGACCCCATGTTTTCTGTGATGTGGTGCGGTTGGAGTCTGTAGAGGCGAAGAGATGCTCCACTCCAATAAGACCTCCCAAACTGCCAGGCGTCAGAAGAGAAATGGGGTCTTTTCTCTGTCGGAGTCTGTCGTGATAACATAGTTGTAAAAGCAATATGCCTCTAAAAGCTGAATATTACAGTGGTTTTACTATGGTAAAGAAGTGTTGTTACTTAGGCACAATGTTATACAGAGTGGCTTGTTGTTTTTATAAAATGTAAAAAAAAAGTTAAACAACAGTTAAAATTAAATTGAATAATATACACTACCGTTCAGAAGTTTGGGGTCAGCAAGTTTTTTTCCCCATTTTTTGAAAGCAATTAAGAGTTAAATTCTGCAAGAACATAACGTCTATAATTTTTTAAAATATGTCTACTTCAATTAAATGCTGTTTTTATAACTATATTCATCAAAGAATCCTAGTACTGCGCATGTCTACATACCTAACATGTACTACGTACGTGCATGACGTCACCATTTTCAAAGATTCCCGTTTTGGGTGTTTACCCCGAAACGATAATGGTGGCGTTTTCTAAAACGTGCACTTTGAAACCCGTCTTCAAAAATATGCGTTTTCAGTCCCCAAAACACCGTTGTCGTGTAAACGAACAGGCAAAAAGCATAAAAAGTTTCCAGTTTTTGGCTGAAAACGTTGTTTTGTAAACGGCCCCTTAGATCTCTGTTTATATCTAGTGAAAGGCTGTGGAAAGTTCTCGTAGTGAGTCAGGAGCACGTCCGATATACACCTACTGCTGACTTTGGATTTTGCTGGATGGATTTTTTTTGCTCCCTGACCTTTTTTCTTTCCTCCTTCTCAATAACAGATGGAGGTTTGAGGTTGGGTGGGATTGTACAGTAATTTGTTTGTGTGTGTGATAATGCTCTGTGTTAAATCTGTGGTGTAATCCTCTATTATTTCAGATTTTATCCCAGACGTTTGATCCGTTAAGTCCTGTTGTTTTTAGTGCTGGGAGGTTTGTTGGCATACATGTTATTCAAGGGAACTATGATGAAGCGGCAAACAATAAAAGACATTTGTATTGTCGTAGCCTGCTGTATGACTGACAGGCACGTTTTGTTTTTTGGTTTCTATTTTTGCTGCTTCAACTGAGTGTCTCCACCCAGAGTGAAATTTCATCCAAAATCCTGTTGTACATGCAGAATTTCCTCTGTCAGTGTAGAAAACTGTGTCACGTCCGGTTAGGCCACAGTGTACCTTGCTGTTCAAAAGTGGGTTCAGTAAGATTTTTTTAAGGAAATTAGTAGTTTTATTCATCATGGAGGCAGTAAATTGATACAAAAAGTGACATTAAAGATATTTACAATGTTCCAAAAGATTTCATATAAACTGTGTCCTTTTGAACCTTCTATTAATCAAAACAATCCTGGAAAAAATTCACAAAATATTAAGCAGCTCAACTGTTTTCAACTTGATGAGAATAAATGTTTCTTGAGCGTCAAAGCAGTATATTAGAATGATTTCTGAGGAATCATGTGACACTGAAGACTGGAGTAATGATGCTGAATATTCAGCTTTGCATCAGAAATAAATTACATTTCACAAATTCACATAGAAAACAGTTAGTTTAAACTGTAAAAATATTCCTATATTTACTGTATTTTTAATCAAATAAATACAGCTTGGTGATAATTCTTGCTGACTTAAAAAAAATAAAAAAATAACCTTGTTGGAGAAGCACGGATATCTGAATGCTTGTGGTGCGAAAGGGCCTATAAATACAACTTGGAAATGAACTACACAGGCTCAGCAGTATGCATAACAATAATCAACAATTGTGTAAATGCATAAACAACAGCAGAAGTATCATTTACAGTCTTTAGAGTTTGAGAGTTAGATTTCTGAATGTTTCTTGAACTTCTTTGGTTCCGTGCTCTTGGCACTCAGTTATTCACCAAAACAACAGTAGTCAACAACAAAGCATGTTTATCCTCGTTCCAGAGAATGAACTGAGATATAGTGCCATTGTGATGTATTTAGTTCACTGGATTATCCAAAAATAGCCATTACCTCAGGGTTATTTAATATATAAACCAATTGTCTTTTTAATTTCCTCATAGTTTTTATTACAAAATAAGATCTTGGTCATACCACCCACTGCTAACATCCAGCACCTTGCATCCAGGGTGCAGACAATTCATCAAGTTCCCCATCAGTGTTTTCTCTTGTTTAATACTCATTTCAATGAATGTGGTTTTGATCATTCCCACCAGATGGGGCGCACGTTTGTATGGGTCTCAAAGAGCCAGTGGTGGTTTCTCAGTTTGTAATGTCGGCGCTCTACATCAGAGTCACAGATGAATTCATTTGATCCTCTGAAAGAGCCACTGTAGTGGTTTTTCATTCATTAGTTAGTGGTTTAACTGCATGTTTATGGGATGCTCCTTAATATCAAGCATCCCCCACCACGACTAATGGCAGCAGGGGAAACTAATGAGATTTTCTCATTTTGGTAGGGGGCCACATATTGAAGGGGATGTGTTAAAACCTCTTTTGACAGACTGTGAAATTCTGTCTCTGTACGGCAGTTGTCTGTCGAGTCTGCCACTTGCCTGCTAAATGTTTAATTGGCTCGCTAAAGAGAAACATCTTGAGAGCATGTCAGGTGCTGTTCAGAAGATGAGAAATATCCCTATATGAGGGTCTAAAAAAAATAGTGACCCTGTTGTGACCTCCACATGAAACGTTTCAGTGTCCTGAAACATTATCATATCACATTCTGAGAATGTAAATCAGCATTCAAGCTGAAAATTTGAATCCTGACCCACCCACTGTTTATTTTCTGTTGGGTCTTATCTCCTTATCCTGCATTTGTTGTGTCCATCAGACACACAAATGCAGTCTTTGTCGTGTCACAGATAAGCTTTGAGATTACTGCAATTCTTTTCTGCCTCTGAATGAGTATACAAACGTTATCTTCCTGACACAGATGACTTATACTCGGAAGAGTACTGCAGTCTTGCCTGAGGCCAGAATAAATTGCTGAGTAAACCAGAGAACAGTGTGTGTCTCAATCTCTACTTTGGTGTAGTTTAGCTTACATGCACAAACAGCTTGTCTGGTTTTTTGGCTGGATTTAGGAATGGAAAGTTACTATAAGTGCACACAGCTCTTAAGTAAGACCCCAGCAGAGCTCCATAACAATACAGTCAATTAATGCCTGAGCCCTGCCGCATACGAGCATGGCTGTGTGTGACTACGCCACGTTTCTTTTCCACACAGGAATGCAGGAGCAGAATCTGGTAGTACATGTGGAAAAAGTGTCAATGTTACCTCAGAACACTGCATGCAGTGACTTATGAGCCGCAGCTGCCTTGAGCTGGAGCTTAATAGTATTTCACAGATATTTCTCTGGCATTCCTCCTCCTCTGAGCGTGCCAACCATTGTCCAGGCTGCGACATAACACTCCGAACTTTGAATGAGAGGGAAAAAATGCACAAGAATAGGAGAGATGATGTCAGCTAGTGGGAATGTACGCCCCACAGCGCTCTCTGTGTCCTCTAATGGCGTTTGAATGAATGCGTTCAACAGGTACTGCAAGACGTTCTGTGTTGAGACAGCCGTGGAGCTGCAGAGGATGGGGCTGTGAACTTTACAACACAATACTAGTGCACTGTGCAGTATGTTCTAGTAGAGACCAATATGTTTTATCATTGACAG